CATCTACAAATGTCATATAATGAAGTTATTTGATTTAAACCATTTAATTAATTGTGTTTTCACAAGCTTGTGCTTAAAAGTTATTCCGCCGTGACGGTTTTGTATGTTTTTTAAATTTTATTTTTACACTGCTGCACACTGGTGTGGTCAGTGTATCTATATCTGTGCGCATTGTTCACAAAACGCCAAAGGAGTGCAAGAATTGAAAGATATACTCTATCTCTACTAAAGCATATTTGATTTTAAAATATGTAGCATTTTCATATACCTGGCTTCCCTGGCATACCATCACGACCATCTCTTCCTATCAAAAACAAGCAAGATCATTTATAGCTTTCCGAATGTAATCATTCTCTTTAAAAAAATTAAGATGATACGATGCGGAATGTACCTCTGAGTTGCTGCACACCCAGGGCTTCAAGACGTCGAATTCTGTAAAAAATAATTAGTTATTTTTCACTGATTGAAAATATACGCCATGTATGAGATATACAAAAATTATAAATCAACTTGAGCTCGAAGTCAATGACTAACAATCTAAATAGCATTAAGCAGTCTGGTACTTGGTTTGCCTACCTTGCTTCCATTCTTGCAAGGATTGCCAAGATTTTAAAACTAGGAGCTGGTTTAGCGGTGGGAAGATTATCTGCTCTTAACTCTGCCGGAAGACTCTCTAGCTTCTCATCTTTCTCTTCCTCAGTGGCCAGAGTCTGCGAAAAGCAGAAAACTTTTATGAAAAATCATTTTCTGGTAATTCCGACTGAGATCCGAAAAAAAGATTAGAACTCCTTGCTCTGAGCAAGCCAGCCAAAGGAATGAGGTCTGTAAAGAAAAAGAAAATGTTTAAAGGTAATTTTAAAGGGTGTTGGCTTGCATCAACACTACTTATTTGTAATTGGTTATCTGTACATTGCCCACTTACCCAATTGTCTATATATGGATATCGATCTCTTTTGATTGTTCGGTACGACATTGCTTGTAGTAATATCATAGGAAGCAAAGCGTAGCTGATCATTCGTTTATGATGTGAATTTTAAACGGACAGATATTTATCGGCTTCGATTCTGTCCTGGAACTGAAAATGGGCGCTGGTCGACGGAGGATGGCAGTATATTAGGCAGAGGCTGCGGAACGATTTGAAAGGAGGGTGTGGGGGGGTGGAGATGCATGATCACTACATTGCCTGCTGATCCACCTGAAAACAGTTAACAGTTTACTAGAGTGTATATGTACTACAGTTGTCAGTCAAAAGACCCAAAAAGACCCTTCATAAGTCATTCACTTTGATGAACTCCATGCTATGTTTTTCTTGATTACCTCGTCCATGCATGTCTAATAACTTTTACTTTTGTTAAAATATTTTAAAGTTAAATTTATACGCCAAAATTTTGCGGTAATACTGGACAATCCCACCACCCGATTCCCCCTTAGACTCATGAAATGTATAAAAAGGAAAAAGAATTTCGATTTAAATTTTTCTTTGATTGCCATAAATATCATGTTGTTATTCTACATGCATCAAGTACCGCGGTCATTAACTCGACACAAGCCAGCAGTTTGCTAAAAAGTCCTTTCATAACTCGATGTTTTTCTTGATTACCTCGTCCATGCATGT